CTCGCCTTCGGTCCCTTCTGGTGAGTTCGCCTGCAAGGCTCGGACCGAACCTCTTACTCTCAGTTCCAATGCACCAACCGAACCCTACCTTCGGTTCTAACCCTCTCAAGACCCAACCTTCGGCCAGACTTCGGAAATTAGCATTTTCTTCCCGGTTTTTGACCCAATCTTCGTTTTAAGCCCGTTTTTCGTGATTTTAACGCGGGATTTTCACCAAAAATCGTAATTTAATATAAGAGACCCTAAATATTCATTTTTAATCATATTTTTGGGGGAAATCCTTGTCCAAGAATAAAATCTATTAAGTTAGATCTTGGGGTAGAGTGTTGACTTTATCTAGAGTATGACACAAACAACCTCCCCCATACCTTTATAGTACAACCCTCAGTCACTATTCCCCCTACCTAGTCAACTATTGGTCCTTTGACACCCCTCCTCCAGCTGTAAAGGTTCATCAAAAGCTGAAAATCTCCTCTCTCCTCCCATTTCACTCACTTTTCACCAAAGAGCAAAACACATTCTCTCTCACTTCCTCTCACCAAGAATTCGAGATTCAAGGCTGATCTTGAGCTCTCCACACACCTTGGTAAGTAAATCTCTTCCCACACTTGATTTGCTTACACTTCTTCACTCAAATCATGAGTTCCTTACACAATTATCGTCATATTTGTTGTTAGATCTTCGAATCTTCATGCATCATCTAAGTGTTCTTGAGTTGAACACTTCTTTTCTCCATCATCCTTCTACTGAAATCACTCAAGGTAAGTTCATACCCCTATCTTTTCACGTTTTTCTTAAGTTTTAAGGGGGGGAATACAAGTTAAAACACCAAAAACTTAACTAAACTCAAACAACAGCTTTCATCAGAAAAGTTTAACTCCATTCACGGACTGTTTTGGTCAACTTAAACATTTTAGTTTTCAAAACTGTATTAGATACAAATAGTTCAGGTTTATACCTTTCAAATGACTACTTGCACATCTCCATAAGATTTTTCTACGATTTATGGTGATTTCTACAAAACTGCCTATCATTTTAGAAACGAATTAGGACCAGTCTGTGAATATGAACATTTTAACACAAGTTAAAGACTTCTAAAAATCATAATAAAAATTATGAATAAACTAGACACATTTTATGAACTCTTAGAATTTACGGATTCAGTTTTCGACTTCGTATGATTTTTCTAAAACAGTGTAGAAAGGTTAAAAACTAGTTAACAACTTACAACTTTCATAACACTTTGTAGTATGTTGAGCAAAGTGAATAACCATAAGTTCTAAATATTGAATGTATTTTCTTGTTAGTTTATCATCATAAACTGAAATTTAGTCATTCATGATAAGGATTCTTCATTCATTTCGAACACATATAATAAACTATAATAAGCATAGTTTATGGATTTTTACTACATGAGAAAGGTTTTACTCTCAAAACAAATGGGTTTTTCATATACTACATAATAGTATAGTTTATGTTTCATACACCAACACCAACAATTATGTTAAACTATAATAGGTATAGTTTATGTTTCATTAACCAGTCAAACTCATTACCAAGGGTTTTCAGTTCAGTTCACGTAAATCTGTTAATGAATAAATTTATGAGACATTCGCTTCATGTTACCTTCATAGTAGAAAAGTCAAAAGTCATGTAAATTGTAACCAGAGTCTCTTGTAGGGAGAGCGTGATAGTTGTGTATAGATCTATATTGGGTCTGACAAACCCACACCTGAGCTGCATGCAACAGCTAGACCGACAGGTCTGAGGTGACAAGTGTCATTTAACTTGCGACGCCTGAAGAACGTCGTATTACGAGGCCGACTGAGTCATAGCATGGTTATAATAACTCGCATGGGGTATGAACAAAACATAAGATTTACAGGTTTTACTTCTAAATTAAACGAGTTTATGTCGATTTAAACTTGCATGAATTACTTTAAGTATGGAAAAATACTTGTACATTTCGGTCTTGACATTTAGGACTACATGACTTTTATAAAGAAAATATTGGGATTTTCTGGAATCATACTCTATCGTTTTTACAAGGAAAACGGCTTTTCCTCAAACAAAACTCTTATGAACTCACCAACTTAATTGTTGATATTTTTTTAAAACTACTTGTATTCTCAGGAAATCAGTGAAACAGGAAACCAACAGCATTTTGAGGATGGGACGTTAAATCATCAAACAGTTCATTTTGTCATCATAATGTAATTGATTTTGAAACATGTAAACATATACTATGGTGTAACCTTTTCAATTATATTTATGATGGTTGTATTTACTTTGAGCACTATTATACTCGTTGTTGTGATAGTATACATCAAGTCCTCCACCCCCGGACGTTTCCGCCATCCTTGGTTTGGGGGTGTGACAATTATTAACCAGGAATCATTAATTCAATTCTAGTGTGAAGAATCAATATTAACCAGGATCATTAATTCCATTCCATTGTGAAGAATCAATATTAACTAGGAATCATTAATTCCATTCCATTGTGAAGAATCAATATTAGCCAGGAATCATTAATTCCATTCCATTCCAGGAATCACTGATTCCATTCAAGTGTGAGCACTCAATTATATTTAGGAAACATTGGTCCCATTCCTTTATAAAAACTAATTTTATTTCCATAATACATTGATTCCATTCCAATACAAGACTTTTAATTAACCAAACTTTCAAAGTACATTACCAAAGTCATTACATTACAAATTTCATTTCATTTCAGTATAACATATCCATAATACATTGATTCCATTCCAATACAAGACTTTTAATTAACCAAACTTTCAAAGTACATTACCAAAGTCATTACATTACAATTTTCATTTCATTTCAGTATAACATACATAAAAAAACATAACAAAGAACAACAACATACAACATTTGAGATTCCAATATTTCCTACTTAATTTATCCAAGTCTTTTCTGAAACTCATTGATTCTTTATCTGCCTTCACCTTATGAGTCCAAAAATTATTTTCCAATATTAATATCTTGACTTCAGTGTTGTCTTGTTTTATTAGTTCTTCATCTTGATCGACTCATTCCCAGAAATCACATTTCTTCTTCTTCTTATCCTTCAATATACATAATAAAATTCACATAAGAAATTAATTATGTAAGAGAAGTAGATGATAGATGATAGAACCACTTACTAGTGAGTTACGACATACTCTGAACTTTCTACCCGGATTATCAGCCGTAGTTGAGGTCCAAACTTGGGAAGACTTCTCACAGTGACAAGGGTGAGCTTAATCAATTGTACTCCTACTCTTGGAAATGTTCGAATTTGACTTAGAATAATTGGATGAACTTGGAGATGCCATAGGAGCCGTATTAAATATGAAGGGCAGAATGAGATGAAGAAGGGGGAAGAATATGGAGAGTGAACCCTAATTTGGTGGTTGAAGGTTATTAAAGTGCGTTTAATAGTTGACCTGAGGTAATCGGTTACCTCAGGTCACTCTAAGGGTTATTTGTATTTTGTTGGTATTTTTTGTATAAAATTTTCAATTTAATGGTATTTTTTTCACTAAAAAAGAATAATGGTGTTTTTTGTACGTTTTTAAACATTATTACCTTTTTAAATCATTTTCCCAACAAAATATAATAAATTTGTTGAATCAATAACAAGAGTATCGCAATATGGACCAAGTTTGGGGACAAAGTAGCACCTCAATTGGCCCAATCCTCTTTTGGAATATTATAATGACTAGTGGTCTAGTAGTACGGGTTTTCAAAATGATTATTATGATTGTTTATTTCAAATAATTAAAAATTTGCAATTTAAGCTTCTTTTGGAATATTATAATGAGTAATCTGTCTCGTACTAAATAGACAAACAAAAACAATCTGAAGAAGTGAGAGATATGAGATCCATAAATAAATTTGTCGAAAGGAAAAAGGGACCCATAAGTCTTGTCAAGAAACTGAGGGTTTTCGCCTTTTCGGACCCTCATCGTCCCTTCACTACCTTTTTTTTATCAAAAAGAAGCGTCGCAAAACAAGGGCCTCCCTAGACCCTAGTATGATAAGGAAGAAAACGAAACAATATAATTTTCTGACAAAATCTGGGACGATGGCTTTTCTATCATTCATTTGATATGAAAATTAGTAAAAGCTATAAGAAAAAGAAAAAACTTACAAATGAAAAAAAAAAAAAAAACCATATAAGAGTTAAATCAAGTTTTTTATTATTCGATTCAAATATTTCCTATACAAAAACAATTTACTCGTAGAAAATCATTGCTTCTTCACTTTTCTCACTCGGTCATGAAAATTTCTAACGATATCCAAATGTTAAACCTTAAATACGGTTACAATGTTATTACTGTGACCTATACAAGCATATAAAACAACCTACACTAGAATAAATCTAAATTATTAATTTTTTGACATTTTATGCAATATATATATATATATATATTTATATATATAAATTCATTATTTTTGTATTATTTATAAGTAACCATATATATATTATATATATATATATATATATATATATATATATATATATTATATACATTTTATTTAGATGTTAATAAATGGTATAGCGGATTTATATTAAACTCAATCTTTATTAACATGTGAATAAAACTGAAAATACATGATTTAGTCATATGTGATTAATGAAGAATTTTAACTGAAATATGATATATGGTTTATTCAAATGTAAAAAAAACTTACAATGAGATGAGATCTGGTGTGTGTGTATATATATATATATATATTTCCTCTTCTACTCCCCTAGAGAGAGAGAGCGAGAGAGAGAGGAGAGAGAGAGAGAGAGAGAGAGAGAGGAGAGAGCGAGAGAGAGAGAGAGAGAGGCGAGAGAGAGAGGAGGAGAGAGAGAGAGAGAGAATATATATATATATATATATATATATCTATATATATTATATATATATATATATATATATATATATATATATCGACACACACAACTCATACATAATTATACCATCATTTAGTTTTGAATCTTGATGAACATGCCTCCTCTTATTCTATCTTTACCATTACTATTACCCTCAAAAGAAACAAACCCTTTAGTCTTTGATGCTTCCATTCTTCAAAATGAAACTGATATTCCTGCACAATTTGTGTGGCCGGACCATGAAAAGCCCCACCTTGAACCACCATCATCGCCGCTTCATGTTCCTCCAATTGACATAAAAGCCTTTGTTTCCGGCGAACCACTTGCAACATCCAATGCAAGTCGTCTGGTCCATTCCGCGTGCCAAGAACATGGGTTTTTTCAAGTTTATAATCATGGTGTTGATTCTAATTTAATAAATGATGCCCACAAGATTATGAATTTGTTCTTTGGGATGCCACTTTTGGAGAAGCAAAAAGCTGAAAGAAAGTTTGGTGAATATTGTGGATATGCTAGTAGTTTCACTAATAGGTTCTCCTCTAAACTTCCATGGAAAGAAACACTTTCTTTTAGGTATTCCGCAGATCCAAAGTGCTTGAACATAGTACATGATTACTTCTTGAATGTAATGGGAGAAGATTTTAGTGAATTCGGGTATTGGTCCATCTTTTAATTAACTTTTTTTCTTCGTTTATCTTTAAAGATCGTGAATCTTTATTTTCCTTGCCTAATTTAAAATTCACTTGCATTACAAGTTGAATTGTTTTCCATAATCCTAGTAGGGTGTTCTTAGGTACGTGTAAAAAAAAATCAAGATTCACATATTTTAAATAATTCCATTTTATTCTATAACTAGCTTTGACGTTATTGTTGATTCATATAGGAGGGTTTGTCAAGAATATTCTGAAGCTATGAGCAAACTAGCTCTCGATATCATGGAGCTACTAGGGATGAGCCTTGGAATAGACCCATCCTATTTTAGGGATTTCTATGAAGAGAATGATTCGATCATGAGATTAAACTACTACCCTCCTTGCCTAAAGCCCGATCAAACTCTTGGAACCGGTCCTCATTGTGATCCGACATCCCTAACCATTCTTCATCAAGACAACGTTGGCGGGCTTGAAGTGTTTGTCAACGAAAAATGGCACTCCATTGCTCCTTGCTCTGATGCATTTGTTGTCAACATCGGAGATACATTCATGGTTAGTAAACAAAACAACATTCACTTGCTATTTGATTTTGATCACTGACTTTAGCTTAATCATCTTTGTTGTAACGAATATCGAATCTTGAAGTTTGCAGTATCACAAGATTGAGCTTGTTTTCACTAACAAAGAGAAGTGTTTTTGTTCCAGGCACTATCAAACGGATTATACAAGAGTTGCTTACATAGAGCGGTGGTTAATAGCAATACTCCTAGGAAATCTCTCGCATTCTTTCTCTCGCCTAAAATGGACAAGGTTGTGAGACCGCCTAAAGCCTTGGTTAAATACAATAATCAGAGGATGTATCCGGATTTTACATGGTCTACTTTCCTTGAGTTCACGCAGAAACATTATAGAGCAGACATGAAAACCCTAGATGCCTTCTCAAGTTGGCTTCAAATGGAAAGAAAATAAGACTTGTGATATTAGTTTCGATTTGAAATGAGACCATGAGCAACTTTTGTTAACCTAGTTTCAATTTTGTAAACATTTGTTTTGTTGATATGTCATGATCTAATCGATCATCATGCTATTTAATTATGTTTATTTATGAATATATTTCTAGAAAAAATAATGATTTCTGAGTTTTTAAGGATTCAAGTATTGTTCAAGACTTCAAGTTCATATTGAAGTCGGTAAAAGTGTAAACACGACCCCAAAATGACAATATAATGTTTTATATGGAAGTTACTAAGATATAAATAAAATATTCTCAAAGAGTTAGAAATTTATTTTTTTAAATGTAATTTTAATATGGAAATTACTAGGTTGGGGTTTGAAAATATTAAATGAACTCTACTTAATTATGAGTATTACAAATAAGTTTATATGTTTTCTTGAAAAAAAAGGACATATATACATAAATTTAAATAGATAATAAACATGTTAGTAAAACCTACTGAGATAATATATATATATATATATATATATATATATATATATATATATATATATATATATATATACATTTTTGTTTGAAAAACTATTTATTGATGAATTTTTAAACCATCTTATCAGCTTTATTTTCGCTCAATTAATTAAGTTTTAAAATATGCAGAAAGAATTATCATGGGATTTGACTGTTACGTATTTGTATTTTATAATTTGTTCAAAACTATTCATTCTTATAAATTATATTGTTTTTACAAGTAATTTATATGAAAGCAATTAATGATTAAGTTTTAACAAAAAATAAATACAATAATTGAACAAATGATAGCTCAAAAGGGAATTCTTGATGACTAATCATTAAATGAAATTAATATGAGATTACCATAAGTTATCATTTCCACATATTGATTCTTAAGTAATTAACGGTCAGTAAATACATTTTTCCCTTTAAATTCATTTGAACATATGATGTCAGATTTGACTTTGAGTGATTGGCTTTTTATACATTGCATTAGATTTTTTTTTTTTTTTTTTTTTAAACTTATACATATAATATCATCTTAAAGATATAACAAGAAAACATTATAGTTTGCAATAAAAAAAATTATATTTGACACGTTACAAAAATTTAAAAGAATAAAAATTCATATTGACCTTTTTATTAAAAACCTAATATGGTTTATAACTTTTTATAATATATAATGTTTTTGGTATTTTTTATATAAAAATTGTTAGACTGTGATGATATCAATATTTAAATTTAATTTTTGGTTATTTACTTACTGATTAATTTAAATGATTAAATATAAAATAATAATTCATATATGAAATATCAATTTTATAATGATTATACAATATTTTCAATGATTTTTTTAATTTAGCCCTAATGTAATAATTTTTTTATACTTATATATTTCAAATAAAGACCGATATAGTTTTATTTAAATATTACTGTCTTTAGGAATATAATATTTGATTGAAATATTTCATATTAAAATATGACATATGTTTAAAAAACAAAAAATTAATAAATAAGAGAATTTTATAGAACATTTTAGATATAACAGCAACAAGCACTACAACAATAGACTTCGTAAATTTTATTAAAATAGGATAGATGGCATATACATCGACAATTATGTCTCCACAAAGAAAAGAAACGGTTGCACCACATAGATAATATCCAACATTTGCAAACCTACAAGTTTGTAAATATGGAAAACAACAAATAAGCATCGGGAAAACATAAAAATAATACATTTTACTTTTTTATTTTTTAAACTTTTTTAATGCTTCTTTACTATTTAAAAGTATATAAATATTACTTTTTGTTTTTGTTTCTTTATAGAAACTAGATGAGAATCATGCGCGCCTGTTGGCGCTGACTCATTTTCTTTTTTGTTCTTTCAGGTTGTATATGTACTGCAACATACCATTATATTAATGAAGATATATTTAACATACATGAGATTTTTAGATAGGTCTTATATAAAAATTTAGGAAAGGAAGTAGTTGATGAAATGATTATTGTCCCAGCAATTACATATTCAGCATGGTTAAGTGTTTTAAATAAGCACTCCATAATTAAAAAAAAAACAAAGATCAGTTAAAGAAAATACAAAGTGGGTAGGTCACCAGATCAGAGAGTGCAGCTAGTATTAAAGCTCATGAAGTATCATCATCCACGGAAATCGATAAATAATTAAGCACCTGAAATACATAAATAAATAAATGTCAAGATTATTGTCCGGAAATAATTATATAAGATTGCAGTGTTGAAACTTAAAAACACTCACTCGCATTGCATTTTTCTTCTTGTTGCAAGGCATCCCACCAACCTCGTATCTATAACAAAAAAAGTTAAAAATCATTTCTAATATATAATTATAGGAATGTACAATGCTATTTTTGGTATTTGATGATAAGAAAATCAAGATCACCGTGTCATTATCGTGAGTTCCAGTATATACAACTTGATTTTGCTTATGATTGTGAGGCAGATGAGGGTTTGCTGAATCACTTCCGAAACCTATTTGTAAAAAAAATATATTAATGAATATTTTATAAATATAAATTATGGAAATAAGTGAACAAGTAAAAAAAATTTAGTACCAAACTGAAGAACCATCCCTGGTGCACCAATGGATTTTCTGAGCTGGACTACATCCTCTGTTATAACTTCATGTCATTCCCAAAAATATTTAACTTTTTTATATATATGTTTCTTTTTATTTGCTATAAAAAAATGAAAATAATTCCATACCAAGTCTTCTGCTATGATGTTGATCTTCCTAACAGTTCTAAAAATTGCATCGAATAAAGATCTTTCCACTTACTATCAACAAAAAATTCACTTAGAGAGTTTGTTGATAACTAATATTTGAGAAAAAAAAAAACTTACAACATCAGCGGCCATCCTTAAACGCTGTCTAATATCTAAAGAGTCACCACTATTGTGTAGAACATAAAAAAGGCTTCCCCTAATTAGAATACATGTAAATTAAAGTTGGTTAGGAATCCATGAGCTATTTTTTTAAAACTAACTATGCATTTATTTTCTAACATGATGTCATATTATAGTTTTGTAAAGATCTTTTAAATAATTACCTGGGTAGTAATTCTGTGACCATGGAAAGTTTATCTTGTGAACATAGAGATCCCATAAAAAGTAACACATTTGGACGAAGAAGGAAATTTCATGTAATGTGCAATGTACTTCCAAATTAAAATTGTAATAAAACTCTTCAAGAAAATTGGGTAATACAATTAAAATAAAGTTATAGCATAAATCGACAACAATAAGATTAATACTTTGTCCCTTTTAAAAGAAATGAAAGTATGATGCTAAAAATTTCAAAGGGACAAAAGTACAATGCTATTTCAACCTATGATGTATGTGATTGGTGTGCTGGAACATGTAACAGGGACCAAAAAATACACATCCTTCCTTTGACATAATATATTTTGGTCATTTAACACAATTTAAATCCAATATTGGGAATTTTAGTCATTTAACATAATTTGCATATCAATTTATTTGATATGGTTACAAAACAAATAGAATAAGAAAGGGAAATGTTAACACTAACAAAGTAAAATGTTATTTTATGCAATTATAGTAACATGAATGATTCTTGTATATATAAAAAAAATTAAAGCAGGTCTGTGGACTTAAAAAATCCAGTGGAATGTATCGGTCAATTAAAAATGTTATTTTCATGTTCAGTTCCTATTCTGCAAAATCTATACATTATTGATTAACACATGGTGAAAAAACGATTAAAGGTCATATCAAATAATGAAGTTAACATTGCATGTTTTGGATAGAATAAGAAAAATGATACCTTGGCCACAGACATGAATGTTCACAACTTTCATCGGGATGTAATCCAACACATATAGCATTATACCTATTTCCATGAAATAAGAAACCAATTCATGAAAGAATATTGTAGGATATAACTATGTATTTCTTATGTGAAGATTATTAATCTAAGAGCAATAACTGTACCACATATTACATGAATCAGAAGCACCCGGGTATTGCTTTCTTCTTTATTTATGCTTTTTCTTCTATTTCACTCCTTCCAAGTGTAACTTCAGATGAGATTGTGTAAGCATCCCCCTTAAATAGTTTTTGTGCCTACTAACCTAAGTCATTACAATCACACACCATGCTAATTAGATGTTGGTAAGGCGATAAACCAAGATGAAACATAGAGACAATGACAACACAGATTCAAAGTAAGAAACCACCTTGGTCAATCTCCATTGTTAGCTACTTCAACAATTATGGCTTCCCTGCTAGAAATATATATGCAATGTCAAAAAAAGTAAGCCAAAAACATGACAAAATAAAAAAAATCTACTAATAGATTTACCTAACCTGGGATCCCAAGAAGATGGTACGTGTAATTTGATGTCGGTACACCCCAATTAGGCATTTGGTGCATAATGAAGTTAATCAAAACATCAGAGCATAAAGAGAGGGAATTAACAGGTAATAAACGTTTGTAATTAAGCCTTAGTCACAGATCGTTTACTTTCATAGTTGTACGGTCAGAAACACATAGTGACAAACAGTCACATGTTTACTTTCCACCCAAGATTATGTAGATAATGAAGTTGTTTCTTGATCCATTGGCTTGTTTATACATAGATACATAGAAATCGGTTTTAAAGTATCTAAAATCGTGTCAAGAAAATTGAAGAAAATATAATATTATTGACAAATACTGACCTCTATCCATGGAATTTCATATGGCCTCATCTGTTGGGTGCTTTATTCAAGGTAATGCCATTTAGACACACGTATTCAGGATAGAAGCCAACACAGTTAAATAGTTAAATGGTACCTCCAGCTTCAATACACTAATTGTATGGATACCATCATATTCTCTGATTTCCAACCCTTATATGCTCTTGAAGTTCCTTCCTATCTCATAAAAGAGAATCCAATCTTCTTCTACAAAGGAAGTTAAATATGAGTACATAAGGATACTGATTAAAAGGAAAATTAAAGG